TTTTATTGCATATTCCTTTATCTACTTATCGTCTTGTTTGAGTGTAATCAAAATAAAATTTGGACGAAATAGTTTTTATTGAGAAAAAGGTCACATCTTGTGCCTTAAAGTCTAAGAAGCCGTTTTCGGCGTTTCGAAATAATTCGAAAGGTTCCTCCTTCAGCTAACAGCTTTTTATATAGACTGCGATCCTTCACTGCAAATAGCTGTCAGCTGGTCATAAAATACCTCTCGAGTGTGTCATTTTTCAAACAGCAAACGTGTTGTTTGCTTTTGCCACGAAAAGTGATTTTTCTTACCTTTCACTGCACATGATTCGCTGGTAGTGTTTGCTGATAAGGGAACTTTTAACCTAAGACTATCAACAGCAAATTTTATTTGTCTGCTAAAATTTGCTTAGCAAAAAACATCTAATAGGATGAATAATAAATTTATTTGTCTATAAGAAACCTATGTATGAACTATTAATATAATATGAAAAATCAGCAGGATTATTCGTAAGAATTGTGAAAATCATTAACATGCGTATCATTACATTATAGTACATACTCATTACATGAGTATAATTGTGTGGAATTTAAAATAATATAATTTGTTTAGTTAATCGGGAACGCAGGAATAAAGTCAGTAAGAAATGTAATAATAAAAATAGCACATTTTGTGAATTATCCATTTTTATGTCTTCTATCCTTGCACGAAGAAACGACAGACGAAAAAGGCGGTTTTATATTTTTTTAATAAATTGAAATGACAGTCACTTGTTAGAGAATATCGCAGTGTTTGATTTGCTTTAACTGAACTTGCTTTGAAAACCGGAACTTGGCCGAATATTAAAGTCTTTATTCTAGTTTTATCCAAATCGCGTTGGCTTTTGTATTCTAACAATTTGCCTTTGCGCCTGAATAAAATCGACTCATATAAAATATACATTGATATACAATATCAAAATAAATAAATTTGTTCAAAATAACACAACGTTTATCTGATATTTAACGACGTAACTCACTGAGACAGTTTGACCTGAAATAAGTTGAGTAAAATATAAGTAGCGTAAGCCTGTAAATTTTACGCATTATAATTTTTCATTGAAATCGGAAATTCTTTCTATTATAAATTTAATAATTAAGCATCTCAAGTTGTCTGACATATTGTACATATTTATTGCCATCCTCTTTTGAAACAAACGCTTCTCCCGTATATCACCTTTTTATTGTTTGTGATGCTTTTACAAAATTTTTGTTTATTTTCTATTTACGAACTATTTTCCCTTGCATAAAATTTAAAAATCATTGATATCAGCTTTTGAAAATATATCTTCGCGTTTAAAACACCAAAGGGGCCACATGTTGCGCTTACTAAGAGGTTTTCTCTTAAATACTTTGCCTCCAACAGAATTAACCGAGGAGAACGAAGAAACAAAAATAATTTTCCATCCATAAAAAAGGTTCACAAAAATCTCACAATATTCTATTGTAATTCAAAAACAGCTTTTCTGCATCTATTCTAACAAGGCACTTTCTCTCTATTTTAATGCTTTATCGTCCAATTTCTGCTTTAAACAATCAAAATGTAAATTGGCAATTCCTGCTCCAAGTAATAAAACAAGCGCAGACGCTAATTACATTTAGATTAAAAAAATGCCGTAAAACATCCTCCTAGGCACTATTGTGTTTTCGCTTGATGGCGAATGGAATATGTGAAAATGTGCTTAACGATGGAATGCAATTAAACTGGAAGCAAACGTTTTTTACTTATATGCCCGTTATTTCAAACTATACAGCAGTTATTAAATAAAATAAAATAAAATACAACTGAAGCGGATGTTTGGAGTTTAGCAATTAATAAACAGTCATTAGTTCCGCAATTTTATGTGGTATGATACACATGGTATTATTTGTGCTTTTGCTTTTTAATTTGTTGAGCACCTGTGCGTAAAATTATAAAATTAAAATTTATTTGTGAATGTTTGTTTCAATTAACTCGGTTTGGGGCAGGTTGTGTAATTGTTCCAGGTACTATGGCTCGAAATATATGCCTACAGACTGATTGATTTTGCTCTAAAGATATAATGTAAGATGTAAGTAAATTGCCAAAGTTCCAACTCCCAACCACTTGCAGCGATATCGGAAATAAACAAGTGGAAGTTTTGGGTGCACAGTTCGCTCTCGAAGAGAATTTAATTAATTAAAAGTTTCTTCGTTATTAAATGAAGTCCGGTAAACCAGTTTAAGAAAAAGCTTCGTTGACTTGATTATAATTCCTCCGTCGTACCTCGCGATAAATTTCTTTTTAAAGAACTGCAGGACAATTAGCGAACGTGTTTTAATTAGTGCGCATTTCGTTAAGTCAGAGATTTTTTCAGTACGTAACGAAAAGGTTTCCATTTTTCTGCTAGCGTATTCCGGTTTGCCACAATTCTCTCTATAAATTGGGTGCAAGATTTCAGGAGCGCTAATTGAAAATTATCCCAACATCCATGTTTACATGGCAGGCACGTAGTTTGGTAGAATTTAACATTCAGCCTGAAACAGCAACGTCTCACCTCTATCTGAGCACCTGCAGTTTAGTTGCATTAGCGTGTATCCTTGGCACAACATAAATTTAATTACTTACAGCTTCCTGAATGAGAAAGGAAACTTCTAGGAGGATAAAATAGCGTTTGAGATAAAACGAAATCAACTGGCTGCCATTTGAAGGCCCAAAACACGAAAGAATTCACGTTAGGCAATTCCTTTCGAAAGGAAACTGTGAATCCATCGAAATGTGGATTTGTATTCAGGGTAAGTAGAGAATAGGAACGATACTTGATCTGCATACAAAAAGGCTGGGTGATGTAGGGAGTTCGGCTATGGACAAGTTATGAATTCAACACCTTGTACGTGATCCTGATTTTTTTCTAATTGTGGCTTCTTTATCGATGCACTTCAGTTTTTATGGCAAAGCTATTTAACTGGCTCTTCCATGTGCAGCAAATGAGCTGAATCGACCTCAATCCTTCAAAGTCTATTTGCAATTTCAAGCAGCATTTGAGCACATGTGCCTAATGAATTTATGGGGGTGTCAAAGATATGCCTGGTATCTTCAAGGAGGTCGTTAAAAAGTCATTACCGAATCTCTGTTTCCAATGTAGAACATTAAAAGGCACTATTCAACTTTGCGAAAAGCGGCAGGTGAATGGCATTACTCCGTGTCCCTAAAAGCCACTTTCTCGTTATCAACTTCACATTAGTGTCACGCGGATACCATATAGAGTAAATTAGGGTGAAAGGCGGCTTGATCCCGTGGGAGTTGCAGGTCGGGACCACAAGAGGACTTTTCACCTTTACTGATTCGGCAGCGAGAGTTTAGACGCTAAATACTAGAGCTTTTAGAGGGTTTTTATTTGTTAAACCCGCCATTTTCAGTAGGATTTTTGTTCAATGTTAGCTTTTGAATAACTTAGGCCATCCTAGAACCTTCAGGGGTTAGACCGAATATTGCTGATAACAGTGTAACATTTCAGTGTCTCGATATAATTTTTTCAACCAATTTTAACAAAAAATTTGCCAAATTTGTTAAAAATAGTCAACAATTCTAAATGACTTCAGTTGTTATAGTCGGAAACACAACTGTGATTATTTGATCAAAATGTGACTCGCTTCCCTCATCGGTCTTATACAAAAACATTTTCAGTTTTACGGATACATTTAAAGTATTTTAGTAAATATCATCGCAATTAGATAATTTGTTTAGTGAACGCAAGTTACAAAGCAATTCTCACATCTAAACAAGGTGTTAGAGTTACTAATAAGTTGAGCGGATTTTTGAAATTTAAAAATATGCAAGACATTTATTAAGCGAAACTATGCGAAAGGTGCTCTTATTTTTTGTATTTTGGAAAATGATTGAAATATGACCTCATTTGCTCAATGCGCGTTAAAGGCGTATTAGAAAAGTTCCTTCCTTTATATGTCTGAGATCTTACATAAGCGGATTTAAATGATAAATTAAGCGGAATTTTAAAACTCAATGATGTGCAAAACATTTATTCAGTATAAGTAAGTGCAAGAACTTCTCTTACGTACAAAATGTTTGTATTCCATTACTTGCACAATGCGCTTTAAAGGCGTGTTAGAAAACTCCTTACATTCATCTGTCTGATCTATTACATAATTTTATTTTAATAATAAACTTGCCGGATTTTTGAAATTTAAAATAAAAAAAAAACGAAATTACACTTTGAGTTAAATTACAAAGTAAGTAGTAGTTATTCTGATTATACAATGAAATATCCGAATTGGAACTTTGAAAGGGCATTTTTTTTGATAAATTTCTGCGAGAATTGATATAAAACAAGTCGATTACACGGCTTCTGGAAATCAGTACTGAACAAGATTATTCTGCTTGTATATTCAGTGTAATCTAGAATTGAGACTGAAGAAAGAAGACAAGAATCTTCCTAATTGTTCCAAGTTTCACTGCGGCCATTAAGCGATAAATTTAGGTTGCTAATAAACACCGACATCACTTTTAACTTTCACACAAGGCAAAATTTTCAAACAGGACGAAAAAAGTTTGTAGGTGCTATTTAGAAAAGTGATTTTTTGACTGTTTTTATATCAATGTTTGTGCTATATGTTATATGCTACAAAAGGGACACTTTAGAGTCATATGGGGAGTTAGCTGGGGCTATCAGCTTCCAAATTCGGGTTTCGATTTTAAAACTGCTAATTTGATTGTTTCGTAAACACCAGTCTTGGCAGTTTTTTCTTTAACAATTGATAAATATCAAAAGCTATAAGAGATAAGTTAACAAAACTAGGGTTACCCAAACTCGCAATTGGAGGGCCCATCAAACCATGCTAAATAAATATAAAACTAAGAAAGTCAGGTTACAGCTTTTGTACACTCGTTATGACCGGAAACAAAACTTTCGACACAACTGCAAGTTGGAAAACTAATGCACAGTCTACGTAAATCCCCCTGTATACGTTTGAGGCAGTAATAAAAAATTAAACGAATTAAAGATATATATTTAGTCCCGTAGTTCTATAAATATGAAATCAATACTCACCTTACTAAAAAGTATTATTTGAATAGCGCTTTTCCGTCGCATTTTGTCTCGTAATCGATTGTCCGGTTGAAACCCTACGAGGTATTTGGACAAAACAGCTGTCCGGAATAAATAGAAGAATGTCATCAGAGCCATCAGGTAACCGGGAATGACCAGGCTGGAGATAAAGGCGTTCTTGTCCAGAAACCTGCCAATAAAACACCTGAATTAATATTCTAAGTAAAATGCAGTAAACATGAGGATCGAGCTTTGGTAACGAATTTCCAACTAATCGAGTGGATGGAAAATGTATATAGCGCGAAGAGCTGTAATACATCAGTCAAAAATATGAGGAAAATTTACATTTTAATAGAGCACTTAACGTATGATGATTTATTAGAAAGCGCTAATAATGTGAATGCAGGGAAATTTTCCGAAGCACATACACATTTATAAAATAAATTTCCTAGAGCTGCAAACGATATTCAATCAAGCAAAGTAGCAAATAAGTTGACTCGAAAAGTTCTGTTCCATTTTCTGCGCTTGATTAGCGAAGAATTTCAAAAACGACATAAAAGTCTATCTGAAGGGAAACGCTCTATAATTATGCTAAATGAGGATATAACTCAAACGACTAGCTAATAAAACTTGCGGCAATTCGAAAGGCGATTGTTCACTTTTAAATGAATTTCCTAATCGCGGTAATTTCGGAGAAGCGAAAAGTTCCTTTTGGATTCTTGTTTTCAGAGATTAATCACTTGGTCATACGAAAATCGCTCTCAATTACCTTAATTTGACCTATTTTTATTTGAACCAGTTTCATAAAGTTATAGACAAACATATCTTTTTTATTTTTGCAAATCCAGAAAATTATTGTTGTTTTTAAATTATTGTTCAAGCATTAGCGTTGATGGATTGACTTGCATAATCCGGGTAAAGCGGTAATGTCCCAATTACTAGTTAAATCATGCGCTAATTAAATTGAAATTCTCTCAAATCATTGGCATTTAATCAGGTTTATTGAGCACACAGGACTCATAATGTGGCAGAATGCTCGTAATTCTGTCAACATGTGCTGGAGATGGAACACAACCGCTGGAAATGAGACTATAATTAACAAAACCAACTATGATTTATTGAAAATTGCCCATCCATTCGGTCAGTATTAAATTGGTTTTTTGGGGCAATATTTTTGAAAATGCCGACAGCTTGATGCAAATTTGAGATTATCTGGAAGCCGCTTGCTTCTTTAGCATTTGGTAGCAAATAACAGCTTTGTAGAATGGATGAAGTAAACCGAATATTGTGGATAAATTATGCATACGATGCAAATCGGTTTGGCTTGTCAGGCCTCGATACTTTGCGAGAGCGTATCGGTCTAATCTTCTCAACCTTTTTGGCGAAATACTAAATCTAAAAGGAAATATTTTAGCTTCAGGGTAAAGAGCAAAAAGGACTGAATCGGGTGTGCTTCAATTTTTTATCCCTTTTCTTTGCTACACGAGGTAATTTGCTTTCGCACTTATTTACACTTAAAAAATGAATTTGTTAACGTTGACAATTTCCAGACGAAGTCGGATTCAATTATTTTGTGTATTTCCTGCTTTTAAAACAATTCTTTACTGCGTCTGAAGTTGAAGAAATTTAAATATATTACCTTACAAGTATAAATATTGCAAATACATTCGTGAATAGCCGGAATTTATAGAACATAAATCGTTAGACATTGTTCACGTTTCCATTCCAGGCAAAACCTTGCTCATTAATTACACCTAAAAACTGGCGAACTATTTATTTAACCGAATGACACAAAAACCGCACAAAACATTTAAAGCGCGCCAACTAATCCTGCATCTAAGCGTCTAAATAAATACTTTATAAATTGAAATTTGCAAACTATTGAAAAATGGCTTTTTGTATGTGACATAAAGCCTAGCTTTGAAACAATGTAGGCTGGCAGAGTTGTCCATAAAAACCGGTGGCTTAATAGTAAATTGACATTAACACTAGTGTTCGTATGGAATTGTTCGGAACTTTTAATCAACAATGTCAGAGCCGATGATAAATTGTTTTGAAGTCGGTGCAAAACTAGAACTTTTGAGAATTGGCATTGGAATAATTTATCTTCGCTCCATAAATCCTCCAGTCAACTTTTGAAATATCAGTTTAGTAATTGAAAATGACGCCGATGTGGATAAGCGTATAGAGATGCCATTAAGATAGATGCGAAAAGTGTTTTGTTCGAAATGGAATTTTTTTATTGAATTACCGTTTCATATCGAGCCATACTATTAATATTTGTTTAGTTTCTGTTATGACAATAGGATATTCTTACCAGCAATTCTGCCTTCTGAGGTCTTGAGTGTCGAGCAACATTCCACGTTTATCACAGTATTGGATTAAGATGCTTGCCAGCAGGAATACTAATGGCAATCCCCATCCTAGAAGGGAATATCTGAAACAACGTTTCATTTTATAATCACATTTGCTTAAAAAATTACTAAAATTAGCCGAGCGGAATTGCCTCTTTTTCTTGATTAATAATTTAATGCCAAATTCATCAACTTTTTCAAGCCCGAGCTTCAGGTAGCGAGAAACTTAATATTCATAAACTAAGGTGCGTTTTTTGCGTGAAGGTTATTGATTAGTCTGGCTGGAGTCTAGACGCTTGATAAGCCTAATATATTAAATTTTCCCAAACTTTCTAAATATTTACTCACGCAGGTGGGATGTTTACATAATCAATCTTTTTGTTTTTATTAATGCATATTCTGCTAGTAAAAGGAAACAAGTAACATCAATTGAAACACTCGATACTTTTTTAACAGTCGCATATAAGGAGGTCAAAATACAAATTTCGGAAGTAGTTTTCTCTAAACAGCATGAGGTGAACATTTTTTAAGTGGCGCCCTCAGGCAAAAGCTGGATTAGAATCTTGAGTTTTCTATGAAATGCGTTGTTAATTTTTTAACGCTTAATAATAAATTTTTCACAAATCCTTGGAGGTTTGCTCGAAAATCAATATGATGTTAAAATAGCGCGAATTTTACTTTGCTAGAGAAGAATGTATTGAAATATTGTCAGCTTGTGCAAAGCAAGCAAACATGTTTGATAGAAGAATTTATAATTAAAATATTTTGAATTGTAGACAACGGCGTGTTATAGAAATTCCGGAAGGGAAATGATCTAAAGGTGAATTCTGGTGCATATTTGCGTTAGTTCTGCAAGAGCAAACGAAAAATTGATGCTTTTTTAAGCCTTAGAGCTGATTAAACTTATTGCCTTGTGCTTTCTTGCCCTCAAAGGTTATACGACGTATTACAGTCTTCAACTTTTAAGCTACAAAAATTATATTTATCTTGGGTACACTTTCAATAAAAAGCGTCGTAGCAGACCAACTTCACACCTTTTTTAAATTAAGTTGAACATTTTTAATGCAATTACCGCGAAAGTTTAACTTTTTTGATTGCACACCAAAATATGTCCGGAATAAACGACTACTTCCACAGGTTTATCAACGCTTCTAATATGCAAACTGCTTATTATCTAAGACTTGTATTTGAACTACAAAATCCCAATTTGTCTTGCAAATATTGACATTGTTCAACTTCGCCATTATGTAGTTTGTAAATGGGTAAACAGTACCCTATTGGATCCTACAGGGATTTGAACTTAAAACGAAAATTTTCGGAACAGGTTTTTATCGCAAACAAAGACTCCATTATTCAGTTTTCCGTGAAAGGAATTTAAATCCTTTGAAATTAAGTGAAATTTTCAGTTCAGTCAGCACGGAAACTAATTTATAAGAGGGCTGTTGTTTAATTTGCGCCATACAAAGGGCGTTAATCAGTTTGCTTATTTTTTTGAGGGCTGTATGTTTTACCAATTAAAACTGAGTTAAGAGGAATATGTTAGAGGATTTATCTAGAAGATGCTTAGAGAAAAATAATTAAATATGACGCGAATTGCTAGATTTGCCTAGTTTGTTGCGTAAAATATTCCTGAGAAATAGTGTTCATAATTTCACATTTTAAAATTCATTACCTTTAGTCAACGTTCTTCCAATAACGCAAAAGTACAGCAAAAGTTAATTTGCATAAAGGGCATTATTTAACAGCAACGACTGAACTCAGTTGAAATCAGTAGCAAATTTAAATCTGGTAAGAACTAATGAAAGTTTGTGTTCCTTCCAAACTATTGCATTTATTTAATAAAAATCACGTGTAAATATTCTCTCTCAATCTAACTACAGCTGAATATTTGTAAGTATCATAGTATCTGTTGTCTGAAATAATATTTTTAGTAACCTCAGGTTGTTTCACATGAACCAACCAGCAGAGTTAATAATACCAATTTATTGACCTTCGCACATTCTACCGGCAACAAACAAAGCAAATGAGCTTCAAGTTCAAAGCGCAAATTGGATATCGTGTCATGGCAGTCGGTTGTCTCTGATTAGCTAAAATCGGCATTTGTTTAACTAAGTCTTCTTGATTGATGTGCTTGCACAAAGAACGTGTTAAAGTGTTAGAGTTTTCACTAAAACCCAAAACGATTTTTTAACATCCACCAGTTGAATTGGATTCAGCAAATACAGGTATGTATAAAAGGCTTTATTTCTCATACAGACCGATTAGATCAGAAATGATCTACGAATATTTGTTAGCTTTCTAATGCTGAATAACAACATTCAGCTGTTTCCTAATTTATGTGCCATAGATTTCGCGGCGGCCTTCAAACCAAGAATCAGCTGTTGCTAAAAACAAACAAATATTATCTAGAGTATTTATGTTTTGTAGGTGTTAATGCTATGTTGTAGATAATGAGCATCATTTTCGATAAACCTGCCTAATCAAGCACATGTTTTTAAACTTATTGCGCCGATCACAGCTGCTTATGGTGTGAGCAAATATTTTTTCGAATGCTGAATTGCATCGAATCGAGGTAAGGAAATAGTTGCAGATTTCAATGCTTTGTAATGATAGATCCTTATTGAACAACTACGTTTTCATTGTCGTCACATATGATTTCTAATGTATGTATCGGGATGTTTTCGTTATTTGAAATTTGATGTCTAACATGAAGTCTATTTATGGATTGAAGGCTAATTCTGGTCGAATCACAATAAATGTAATCGTTTTTCAACATTTAGAATAAAGCATCTGTGGAAATTTCTTGGATTTTTAGCGGGTGGTGATTTATTAAGCTACGGAAAAATAAGAATATATCCAATGCTACAGAAAAGGGGGGAGTATATTAATGACCGAATTATCCGATATCTATCATCTAGGAAGCATATCTTATCATTTAGGTATAAATATTGAATGTATTTCCCCGGGTTCCAGAATTATTGAAATTTTACCGGGAAACATTGAGCGATAAACAGTTAATTTATTTTACCAACATATATTTTATTTTGTATCACCTTTGTGTCTGCCATTATTTTCACTTATTGATTTCGCATTTAACTTTCGTTAGTTTATTTGCAACTTCGTCAAATTTGAAGGTCTTATAGATATTGCGTTGGTGGTAAAATGACTTCATTTTCGCTTGCCGTGAAAAAGTTTACATACTTTTATAAATCGCTAGTTTTTTATTGTTTGATTCTCGTGGTTAGTAGTTCATTCTTTACTAGTAAATGCGTTTCTCTTACCAATAGTTGTTTTGTATGGCTTAGGTTAGTATTAATTTTGATCCTTTCATGACTCGTGATGAATAGCTTTTTTAGATAAATTGATTACATTTTTATCACCTTTTTATTGCTAATATTTTGAATCGTATTCTGTTTTATTATAATAATATTCACTTTTTGGATTGTGATTATAAGTTCAAATGTTGTCTTTCTATCTAAATCTAATTTAGATGCGCAATTGGATCTGCAATTTTTTTATTTTTTTCTGGTTCTTCATTATTTTTATTAGATCAGAAACGGATAGTATGGAAAGTATAGCCATTAACACTAATCAAATGTTTATTCATGCAATCATTTTATATGAACGTTTTCAAAATTTTATACAATTGTGTTGCGTTCTTAATTCGCTTTTGTTCGTCTAGTTTCTGAAAAATTAATGCTGTTTCGAAATCAGCGGTAGAATTGTGTTTTCTTTAAATACACTTCTTGCAATATTTAATATGTATTTTTATTGCCGCAGCTTCAACTTCAGATTATTTGAAAATCAGAAATATATTTAGATCAATAWMGGTGTTTATTTATCTGAARAAGAAGGAAATAGCTTAACTCTAGTGATGCAAAAAACAGGTAGAAACTCACAGAAATATGTAAAATGGCTTTTTCTGTACATTGAATTTCTAATGYTAGATTTTTAAGTGAAAAAAATTAATGTTGGGCAAGTTAAAAAAAAWCCAGTTTGTTAAAWTGAAATATTTGTTGGAACGAATTCAAATTGTTCAATAGTAGATGATAAATTATATATCCATAAAATTGTATGGATGAGCTTAAAATTCGTTGGGTTTTTAGCAGTATGGGTTTCAATCCAAATTAGTAGGCATTTTTAGCTATTTATTTATTATAGTATTTAAGTGTTGGCCAGTTGTGGAAAGTAAAGAAAGTTTAGACCAATAATATGAAAAATATGAAATAAAAACAACCCAAACAGTCTAATAGAGGCAAAAATGATTCTGAAATAGCAAAGTATAAAGTCTCACTATCTGTACGAAATGGCAAAATATGCTCGAAAACATATGGACTAGAGAGCTAACCGCGAAATATGATAAGTGGAAATATCAAACATTTCTACGCATTTGCTTAAAATAATAAGATAAAAAGTTGGCATGAATTTTCATATCATTAAATGATTGTCCTAAAATAGCATTTCAGTTTTACTTTGACTATGTGCAACAAATAATAATGAAATTTTTGGAATTAGCAGTGCAAGTACGGAGCAGGAAATCTGCAAGTCTATAAGCTTCACAGAAGTAACTTTACGCAAACAACGACGCTTTTGATCTAAAGGGCTAAAAAATTAATAAAAAATTCCACCTCCCCCCAGTCAGCTCCTAGTCATGCAAAAACCTCAGATTTTCAAATCCATTTGAATTCAAAAATCCTTTTGTTATCATTGTTATGAAATAACTATTATTATAAAAGGACATGCTTCGCCTGTTATCTTTCACACTAACCAGAACCATGTTTTAATGTTTCAACTATTTTATGTGTAATTTTCTCTATGGGTTTGAAAATTGTAGCAAAAAGTAAATCTTGGTCAAACTGCCGTCGGTTGAACTGGCAGAAATGGGTTTCAAGCTCAGTTTAGAGATTCCGGTGTTTTTCTCCGCATTGGCTTTTATGTTAACAGGTAAGTCTGCAGCTTAAAATCTGACTAAAAAATTATCTGTGTTGCTTTCAGTCAGTGTTAATAGCAACCTTCTAATTTATAGAACATGCTATGTTCTTTTGCACCATAATCAATCGAATTGTGCAAAGTTGGGGTTTGTCAATGATAATGCGACGGAAACTTTGGAAAAGCTAGTAGAGCCAACGGCCACGTATATTCAACTAGTACGAACCATAGTTGAGTCTGCTTTTGGATCGGTTCTTTGTCTAGTTGTGGCTCCATGGAGTGACCGATTCGGTAGAAAGCCTGTCATTGTAGTCGCATTTGTAGGTTTGTATGGAGCAGTGAAAGTGCGGCGAAAAACATTTGCAAAATCTGTGGAATTCTAGGTGGTACCATTTCCTTACTGCTCCATATAGTATTTGCGGCTGTAGATACTTTAACTCCTTGGTTCATGCTAGTCATATCAGTTCCTATTATCCTAACTGGAGGTGGTGTCAGTTTTTTCACTGTTGTATCCGCCTATTTATCGGACTCAACCACACCAGAAGAAAGAGGCCTAAGGTTTCATTCCACCAATTCATTCATATTTCTAACTTAACACGTTGATTTGTGTAGGATGGGAATTCTGGATGTGGTGATGGCCTTGGCATCTTTAATAGGCAACACTTCCAGTTCCTACATTTTGATTGCTACCAACTATTTCATAGTGTATTGCATTGCAACAGCTTGCCAACTTGTTGCGTTGGGGTATGCCATATTTTTCGTTCCCGAATCTCTTCCGGAGCGTGAAACTAAAGTAAGTTTCTTAAGCAACTGTGTGTATTTTTAATTTGATTCATTAACTGCCGGCTTGTTTCAGAACCCGATTGCAGGGATTTTCAGCAAATCGAACATTATCCAAATGCTCAAAACTCCCTTTATTCAAAGAGAGGGCTCGAAACGCACTCTCCTACTCCTTATAATGATTTCCATGCTTCTGGGATTCACCTCGACTGGATCGGGGCAGTTATTTTTCTTTTTCGTTCGGGAAAAGTTACAGTGGACATTGACCAAGTTCACTTGGTATGGAACTGTTGTTAATATATTGGGCTTATTTGGTAAGAGCGGAAAAAATAGAAATTTGAATAAATGTGATAAATATGTCTGGTTTCAGCCACCGCTGTTGTAGTGTATTTGTTTCACACAGTGCTAAAAATTAAGGAAACTGTGCTGATTTTTGTTGGCTCGCTGTTTTCAGTGGTTTCCCTAATTACACTTGGTTTGGCTCTAAAGGACTGGCAGGTATATCTAGGTAAGAAAATGCGAAAGTCCAAGAAATGAGTGTCCTGTGTTTAGTTGCTGTAATAATTAGATTAATTTTACAGGGGCAATTTTAAATTTGCCCTCATATGGCCAGGGTGCCCTAATGAGGTCTCTGATCTCCAAACTAGTACACGAAGAAGAAGTAGCGAAAATCCTATCGGCTTTCAACATTGGCTCAAACGTTTTGAACCCATTGAGCTCGATCGGATATACTGCCTTGTATAATGCGACTATCAATACAGACGCAGGATTATACAATTTTGTTACAGCTGGTATTGTCTTTGGTTGCTCGATCATATTCATGTAAGATCCTGAGTTCTTAGTAAGTTTCACGGGTTTAACACTGATTATTCCAGGTTTGCTCTGATAGTTCAGCGAAAGGCAAGTATAGAGGAATATGATGTGTTGGAAAGTGACGAAAATAGTAGTGAGCCAGAGAATGTTATAGCTAACGAAATAAATTCCACGTAAAAATTGCAAATTTCCAAAGTTTTCCGAATCATCTGTGATTTATTACAATGTGATATCTATATGAAAATTATCGACTTAGGCAATGCTATAATCAATAAGTTGTTTTTTCAATTTTTTTACCTGAAATACATGTTTGGTGTCCAGTTTCCTAAAAGTTCTTCCTAATTGATAATTTCCTCTTCTCTATCCGACGGTAGACAAACGAATTCTGTAGATCAAATTGATCTTGAATCGACACGAAAAAAGCGGCAAAAAATTTGCGCCAACTTTGCCGAAGTCAATAAAAATTTATATTCACTCAAAGTTAAGAACTATTTTAACTTGTCTAAAAACTGAAGTTCGAAACAATACAACCACTTGAAACTCAACAATGTAAATTTCTATTGCAATTAATTCTATTAATATTTGCTCATGCACATTTAGTTATATTTTCTTCTGCAATGCTTCTTGAGCTTCCAACACAATGAATAGATAAGGTTCATTCCGCACCATAGTGCGAATTAATTTCATCAACCGACGCATGGCGACTTTACAGAGCAGGGATTTTTAAGAAGCATTGGGATATGCGGATGATATCGCAATTGTTGTACAAGGAAATTTTCGACACATTGATGCCGCAGGAGCTAAAGACCACAGCACAATGGTGCTAAAGAGTCCAAACTAATACAAAATTACTGCAAATTAGCTCATCAAAAGCCCTTTTATCGCTATTACCAAGCAAATAAGTCTTAGCGCCCGTCAAACATCCACCATCTACCTACGGGAGGACTAAAAATACTACTACCGCAGCAATAAAAAAAACATTCTGCTTTTCATCAGTCCGGACTGATTAGTTGACAATATATTTTACCCTTACATGCATATAGCAAAGGCAAACTCTCACAGAATCAGCTTTGACTATTCCTGAAATATGCTCAATATCTCTTTGAATTTTGAAGCCAATTTTCATTATTTTATTAGAGTAACTCTAAGCTTATTCTTATGACAGACAATGATATTCATCGTTCGGCACAAATGAACTCTGAAATGGAAGTTCATTAAATATTAACACCCACTTTAAAAACTGAAAGCGTCTCGGTCTTGTCCTCTATAAAATTTCATTAATGGGTCCCTCGATTCCAGACGAATCAATGGCATTGCCTTACCTTGACTGAAATTACAATGAGGTTGTTCGATTTACCCCCGGGAGACTTAATTACACTAGATTAAATCATAAATTGATCGAATTTTTATTTTAATTTTTGGGAAATAAAATACAGATTCCCAGCAATCAATTATTTAGACCGTGGATTTACTTGATCGAGTTCCTTGTGCGAAAATAGCTTTTAAAATGTGTCATTTTAATCCTGTGTAAAAGCATGGCTTTGATCGGTGGTTGATATTTAATTAGCATTTCACAAGGCGGTTTTAATGCGAACATTAAACGGTAAACTTTGTAAAAATTGAATTTCAGCAAAAAAATGCTTTCAAGACTTATTTGGTATTCCAATTAACTTTTTTATTGGGGCTCAAGTTCGGATCGTGCTATGAATACTGAATTAATTGCCAGGGTAAATCTGAATTTTGAAATTAATTAAAACTTTATGTTGTTCGTTAAAGCGTTTTTTTTTTAACTGGGTCGTATATTTAAGACATGCTAAGCAATCAATTTGCTTTAATTTTCGCGACTCACCTTATAAAATTCCGGCTAATATTTGTGTCCGTAATTGGAACAAGATGAAGGCCAGTTTTGTACTGCATGTACATATTGTGGGTCATAAGCAGCATCCATGAAAACACACAGAGGCGGACATAATGTAGAGCGGACGCCAGAGCAATGCAGAGCTCCGAATCCTGAAACACAACACATTTGTTATTCGAATGCAATGCGCTTTTCCCGCATGGATTTCTTGACTATCTGCTAAAACAAAATTTGCTTGTTTTCGTCATTATATTAATGGAAGTCGCATTTCAGCAAAAAAAGGGACTTTCGGTGGCTTTTGAATGTAAATGTGTGTAAGCACCCAGATAAAACATGGAACTTGGCTCAGTTTGAAGCTGGTGAGTTATTCGGGATTTAAGGCCGAAATTGTTTTCCACAGTGGCCTAAAAGACCAACCTCTTTTGATATTAGCATAGTTTTATAGCAAAACTGAGTCTGACGCCTTGCAATTTTTTTAATTACATTTTTTTAATGCTTTTATGTGTCGTTTTATGAGATACATTCAAAAATAGCACCGAGGTAAATCCAATCGTCAGCGAAAATAACAAAGAAGAACCGAAAAATTAGAATAACATAACAATAGCAACTTTTTTTCAAATTACAAACATTCAGTAGCAATCTTTAAAAGTTGCAAACTCTGCGTAGACTCTGGAAAATCTGGAACGCGATCTACATCTGAAGAGGTATTATTGAAAATATTTTAATTTTGAAATACCTGTCGATTTTAGTTGATTTATTGATAGACTTGTGAAATCATCCGTAAAATCTAGAGTATAATAAGAAGGTATCGTTAATTACAAAAGTTTTAGGCAAGACCTTTTATAAATTTCACACGACAAAAAATTGAAAAAAATTAAAACTAGCAAATAAATATTAATAAAAGGAACTAAGGGTAGATGTATAAATATAACTTTATCAAACATTTCTAGCAAAACGTCGCTAAATCATGTAGATTTACAACATGGATAGAATACTTTTAAGAATAAGGATATTGTTGCGTACGTAAAAAATGATGGGAACGGTAGAAAAATGCTTAAAATAAAAGTAAGAAAACTGAAAATAGTAAAAGCAGATCGAGAAAAGTAAAGACCAATGAAAATGGGAATGCTTGTTAAAGTAAAGTTCATCAAACTATAGAGGAGTTATTAAAATAAGATACGTGAATAGTGAAAACCGGTGCTTAGTAAATATAAAAATAGATGTTGGAAGTTGAAAACTCGACAACTCGACGAGCAAAATACGAAATTGACACAGCAAGTGAAAAAGTGCAGAAAAAATTATAAAACCATAGAAATAACCGCAGGTGTCGAAAAGAATAAAGCTATAGAGATTTGGTTTCTCATGTCGTAAAAAAATAGGTTAAAACGTTGAAAGGAAATTGATTTTTAGAGGTGGCTATTGGAGGTGAACAGTATTTCAGAGTTTTTGAATTAAGGTTTGTAAATAAACGAGAAATTCATTGAAATTGAATTACAGCCATACATTCGACACTTTCTATGATTTTTTTAAATTTTAACACACGTTGACCAGAAAAAGTTACTTTTTTTGGCTTTAACGGCATTTCCATATGAAAATCAAGCCAAGAAACGTTAACTAAACTGAACAACGTGCTTAGCATAAACAGCAAATAAATGAGCAATTAATTGCAATGAGGTATAAGACGGCACTTCTTTGTCTTCTTCTTCGATACTTCAACCGCTTTGTTTTGCGCTTACCAGGTTACCAGAAAAGGTGCCCTTTGTTAATTGGTTTAAGCGGCAGCTCCGAAGTAAAATGAAGGCCAGAAAATTGAGAGAAAATACGACTAAACTGAACAATATGCTTTCCAATGCGATTCTTAGCTTAATTTAACAAATTACATACACACTTTAAGAAAAAATACCAACGAAAGTAGCAGTGAATAAACTTAAGTATTCGGTAATAAAAATTATCAACATATTTCAATATCTGGGAAATAAATTGAATAGTTTTGGATCAAAATATCGATGTAAAATTTTCTGCTTTCGATCTTTTCAAACAAAATAATAGATAATGGAACTCTTATCTATAAAGAAAATTTAGTAAATGAAATTCAGTCACAATCTAAAAAATGTAATTAAATAATTTAAAAAAATGCAGGAAACTGCAGAAAATGCAGCATTAAATAAAACCCGCGTTGCAGCATATACATACAAATTTATTCGCTCTCCCAGCATCTGGCGATTTGTTAAGTTTCATATTTTCGGCATCTATGCTCTTATTGTTTAATTTTTTGGGGTTAAAAAACGTTCCTCTTCATTTTCCTCACCAACGTTGTATCGTTTTAAGCATCAAACCCCGCGTTGCCAAAACATTTTGAAAAAAATATTGACACTTTAGTTCTACGTTTAGTACTTTACTTCCAAATATAACAAAGCTAAAATTTAGATGGCAGTTAATTCTCTAGAACGAATTGTCCAACTAACTGTTGCAAACGTGGTTCGAAAACAATTTAATTTCCCGCTTATGGCAAATATTGCGTCAATTGCAGAATTAGCGCTCCAAACACGGGAAGCAGTAATTCGGTTGCTAACTTTTACATTGCAACCGACGCGTCTTAAGCAGATTACTTCAAAAGGAGGGATCCAACATTTATAGATTAAGACACGGTAGTTGATAATCAACTTACTTGTGAAATGTCCCGGTAAAGCGAGTGAAATTTTATACATAAACCTGTATAATTTATATTTCATAGCCAAAGAAAAACATAGTTAATCCCCATACTCTTCAAATGAGGAGCTCGAGAGCGGCCTAAAAAGGCCAAAAGCCCTTGAGATGGCGTTCTAAATATTCCTCAGAGCCAAGATAAAATTCTAAAATATCGTTTTACATTTTTTTGTTCTTCTGTGAGGCCTTTGCCGATATATTCGCTGCGTTAAAACAATATTTCTCACTTTCCATAGCGGCCCAGTCTGAACGATCCAGCCCCTAAATCATAACTCATTTTTATTCTTCCCCATATGGACCGTGCTTTTACTGGCTAACAGTACAATATATTACGGATTTTGGGATAGAGTGGGATTTTATCGTCTTTAATGCCTCTGTGCCATCGAAACATATGAATAGAATACACCGCATTGTCCTGATTTATTTTTTCACAATTCATCTGGGGAACTTAGGGGTTGCTTTATGTTGTCAACATTGCTTTATATTTAAAAAAAATCTGCTTTATTCTGAGAAAGTTTTTTTCAATCTAATACACTGGCCAACTTTATACTGTTAATGTTTCACTGGCTGGGTGTGTTTTGGATTCAACTCAATCAGTTTTATGGCGCTATAAACCACACCCTTGCGTTTACTAGGGCATTTTGACCCAAAATTGTTAAAATTATGAGCGGAAAATGCCCCTAAAAACCAAACGTTTACTTCAAATTGCTGGTAGAATGGGGTTTCTGAACACTGTTAGGTTTTTATGAAGAAAAGCATGTTATGCGATTTAAAAAAACTTGTTCAGGTTCGTTCAAACGTTCAAAAATTAATTGAGAGAGTTTAAGTAAGACAAGGTTGTACTGCTAATATAACTGATAGAATGAAACTAAACATGTAAATTAATATTTAAACCGACATATTAAATTATGTTCTTCATCGAATAAAATTAGGTCTGATAATTGCACTTTCTAGAAAATTGAAGCCGTACATACCAACAAAAATTTCTTCAAATCAAAACTAATATTATAACTTAGATATTAGCGTTAAGAAGAGAAGAAATGTCTTGAATTGTGCATGACTTGAAGCCCAAACTGTTATTATTCCATGCACCAAAACATCTCAGAGCTTCTTGGCTCTCAGGAATAAATAATCGCTTGCTTCGGTAAGAGGTTGTAGCCTGTTTTCGGCTGAAAAATTGTTCACTTATATTTATTGGGGCTCCTCTTGAAGAATTGAGGATCATGCCAATAGATCTTTGTCACCAGAAATTTAACCAATACTTTATTTTTGACTTCAGCTAGTTAAACGTGTGTGCAGCAAAACTTGGAAACTTTGTAAACTGTTCAACAAAATGAACCTTACACGGCCAAATTTGGCATAATTTATGTGGTGTTGAAATACAAAAAATGGTTTTTGTCCAACTGAGAACACGTGGAACTTTTACCAATTATGCATTGCTTCATTTGGCACTCTGTAGAAACTTTATCTGAAGCACAATTTTTGGAAGAAACACACTAACGGAAAGGTAATTGCAGTAAATAACACTTCAAACTGAAATAGAATTGTTCACAGCAACCAGAGTTGGCTCACATCTGTCTGTGCAACGTTGATTTTGCTGAGCAGTTTCAATTAATTTTTTTAAATTTATATAAAAAAAGCAAAATTTCCTGTGATATTTAAGCTGAGCATTTCAAACACCCACTCATAATCAGCTTCAGTTCCATTTAGTTTCTTTGGGACGTAAACAATCTTGCCTCATCTTCCACTTTATATCAAGCAATAACTCTGAGCGCTCGGTCAGAAAAATGCCAATTAACCAACTTTTAAAAGTATAGTGCCAGAGGAAAATTTTATAAAAGAACTGAATCGTATGAAAGATATATTTTCAAGGTGGAAACATTCAGAAAGTCATTTACTGGCTGACTCCAAACTTTAGAAGATTTTACTTAGAACTGAAGGACTTATTTTGCATTTTAATAAAAGGAAAGAGTGAATCGAAAAAGTCCCAGTTCTTTTTTTTATCTCACATAAAGGATATTGTATTATGATTGCATTTGTGCTTGGGTTCAGTAAAACACAATAATAGAAACAAGTAGCTATAGACCTTCAGGAGATCGACTAGATCTTGTCTGCAATTACAGGCAATATTCTCAATTAAATTACGGGGTATCCACTCCTTTAAGCTTCATCAACTTGAGCCTAATATTTCAACTATGTAATGGCGTAATAATTACCACTTTAACCCTTAACAATGTCTTACAGGAATAATTATGTCGATCCTTCATCATGTAGCAATCAAGCGGCGCGCCTTCCCGGAAACATCGAAGCTAATTTCATTATAACGTACTCTATGTGATTCGGATATAACTTGTATCCCTCATGGCTATTCTGTCATGGAAAAATATAATTATCTCTTAGAAAAAAATGACCACTCAAATAATGCAAGGAGGATACAATAAAAACA